TTTTAAGGTACAAAACTCCTTTTTTCTTCCACCTCAGCATCCTAAGAGCAAAAGTTACAGGGAATGTGCCACCATACCTGGTGGAGGGACTCTTTTCCTTCACTTTTCATTAACAGGTAAAAATGTTAAAGGTCAACTGCTCTTCAAGCACATTTTCTTTTATGAGACTGAGTCTACCACAGGTACTACCAAGGAGGCTGATATCTAAGGATCTTGGTTCAAAGCTAGTCCAGGCAAACAAATTTGAGAGACTTTTATGTCTAGTTAACCAGCAAAAAGCTGGAAGTGAAGGCACAGCTCCAGTGGTAAAGTGAGCCATGAGTGAAAAAGCTGAGCAAAAGCAAGGCCTTAAGTTCAGGCCTTAGTACTAGCATGCATACGTGTGTAAATGGAAAAACTGGCATTGTTTATTTTCTTGGCCGACACAAAATAAGACCTATAATGGGCTATCAGAATAGAAACAGGCAACCTTTTATACCTAAAGTGGGCAAAGGAGACTTTTCCAGAAGTTTAGCATTACCTTCTAGGGCTAGTTCAGAATCAAAACTGGGTATCTTCTCTGGCGTTTCATTCACTGAAGGAGGTAGCGTGTCTTGAACAGGCCTGCTGTCTGGCCTGCTGGAGTTAATAGGTTGGGAACTATTCCACAAGGAGGAAGTCTTGTATGTCTTAAATCCCCACTGGAGAAAGCAATTATCAGAGGACATCTGAGCTGGAACACAAAAGCCCTGTGACAGGGTTCTCCCTGGTCCCAGAAAATGTTTTGTGAGTTGTACAGTGTTAATGAAGCTACTCAATTTAATTGAGTTGAACAATCGGAATATCTGCTGGGCTGAAAGGGCCATTTTTCTGAAAGTAGCCTACAAAGAGAAAAATATAACCATCAAAAGAGAAATTCAATTATTTAAATGTTGAAAGCAGTATTCAAACAAACAAAGGATAAACTGGAATTTTTTTTAAATGAAAGGAGCTTAAATAAATTTTTATAACTAAATTAGTGAGATGTGTCTCATATAGAAAAAGCTTCAAAGGCAACGACAAAAATGAAAGCAGTAACTTCTGAATTGGAAAACATAAAGATATGCTTTTATAATTAAAAAACAAAATAGATCATTGGTATAAGAAAAACATTTGGAAGTGGTGCTGTGGCTCAAGTGCTAGAGCGCTAGCCTTGAGCTGAAGAGCACAGGGACAGTGCCCAAGCCCAGAGTTCAAGCCCAGGACTGACCAAAAAAAAAAAAAAAAGAAAAACATTTAAGCCAAAAATCTGTAAATGTTCAAAGTCCAGGTGAACTAATAATTTAGTTCACGTACTAATAATTTAGTTCATGTGATTCTTTTTTGTTTGTTTAAGACAGTTTCACTATGTAGCACAGATTGGCCCTCAATTCTCAATCCTTCTGGCCCAGCCTCTAAATGCTGGAATTGCAGGCATTCTCCACCATGGTTTACACCTGATAGTTTCATTACTTCAATAGAAAATACAGTGATGGAATGAAATGTTTTTGGAATTTGGTTTGAAAGGCATTTTGGTAGAATCCCAGCACTCCAGAGACTGAGGCAGGACCAAGAGTGCATTTCGACTAGTCTCTCCTTTCAGACAAGACAGGAAGCTGAGACCTGACCATCTCAGTTTGAAGCTAGCCTGGGCAGGGAAGTCTTATCTCCAATTAACCATCAACAACCCAGAAGTGAAGCTGTGGCTCAAGCTGGCAGGGTGCTAGCCTTCAGTGCCTAGGCCTTGACTTCAAGCCCCAGGCCTGGTAAAAGAAAACAAACAAATGAGTTCAAGGTTAGCCTGGGTTACACAGTAAGACTCTGTCGCAAGAATAACAACAGAGAAAAAAAAACCCAAATATTGAATTAATTCAAATACAACCCTGTATAGTCACAAAATAAACAGAAAATCACTGTTCTAAATGGATCATAATATTAGTAAAGCTATATAAAACACTGAAGGTTGTTTCTTATTTTATCCTCAGAGATCACTGCTATTTCAGATAGAATACTATTCTTCAAGACAGAATTGAACAGAACTAGTTTTGCCAAATCCTGTTTCACTGTACGGAACAAGAAAAATAACAGCCTTCAAAAGTAAAAGGTCAAAACAGCTAGAAAGCCAGGACTGGTGGTGCATACATATAACCTTAGTGCTTAGGATGCAAAGCAGGAAGATCCCAAATTCAAGGCCAGCCTGGGCTATATGAGACTCCTGTCTCAACAAAGCAACAAAACCAAGTGTCAGAAAGAAATAAGAGCAGTAATGCATAAATACATCATTTTACCAAAAATATACATGGGTGTGTAAATATTCACACATATAAATATGTAAATACATATATTAAATATAACATACACATACATACTGGTGTCCTGGGCTTGAACTTAGGGCCTAGGTGCTGTCTCTGAGCTTTTTGCTCAAGGCTAGTGTTCTACCACTTGTGCCATTGCTCTACTTCCGGCTTTTTTTTTTTTTTTTTTTTGGGTCCGGTCTTGGGGCCTTAACTCTGGGCCTGGGTGCTGTCCCTCAGCTCTTCAGCTCAAGGCTAGCGCTCTACCTCTTGAACCACAGTGCCACTTCTGGCTTTTTTCTTTTTTTGCTTATGTGGTGCTGAGGAATCGAACCCAGGGCTCATGCATGCAAGGCAAGCGCTCTACCACTGAGCCACCTTCCCAGCCCCTACTTCCAGCTTTTTGGAGGTAAAAGTCTTCAGGAATTTCTTGCCCAGGATGGCTTGTGATTCCTCAATCTCAGCCTCCTGATTAGTTTAGGATTAAAGACATGAGTCACCAGTGCCCTGCATTGTTTTTTGTTTAAGAAAGGTTGCTGCCACTTTTAGCTTTTGAACTATCAATTTTACATTAGGCCAACTAATTAGGCAAATTTGATGTATATTATCTTACACTAAATAATCTACATACAACACAGTATGGAGACAAGTGAATAAGAAATACTTAACAATGAGTCATTATTATTACTATTACTACTGATGGTCAAATGCCATTAGTTCTTTCTTTTTTTTTTTTTGGGTCCGGTTGTGGGGCCTGAACTCTGGGTCTGGGCGCTGTCCCTCAGCTCTTCAGCTCAAGGCTAGCACTCTACCACTTGAGCCACAGCACCACTTCCGGCTTTTTCCTTTTTGCTTATGTGGTGCTGAGGAAGCCAACCCAGGGCCTCCTGCATGCAAGGCAAGCGCTCTACCACTGAGCCACCTTCCCAGCCCCAAATGCCACTAACTCTGTCCACTAATTGTATGCAACTTTTGATTTTTTTCTACATAGTGGAAGGTAGCTTATTTTAATGCTCTGAATTAGATTGCATATTTGAGGTCTAATATCTGGGAGATTTGTAACTTGGAAAGTCTACTGAAAAGAGATTTATAAAAGAGGAAGTCTCACTTTCAAGTAACCTTAGAAAGGAAATAAGTGTTCAAAAGTAATCTTCTGGTATTGATAGTATCTGTTAAAATTTGGTAGGAAATGAGCTTCCACTGACCTGTCAGGTGTTTTTGTTTGTTTGTTTTTTTCCCCATACCAACTTGGCTCTGCCCTGAAGCCCATCGCGGCATTAAACTGGGAGCCAGAAGACTTCAGTTATGCTGCTACCTAACAAGATATTGCTTGTGCCGCTCTAGCACAAGGTCTAGCTTATGACAATGGCTCAGTTTAACTATTCTTCAAGTAACATTTTTTGTGGTGCTGTAGAGTCATCTCAGGGTAAACACTGATCTCATCATTCACTCGGCTCCAAAATAGTGCTTGCTGTAAAGGTTAGGGATACAAAAAAATGATTTTCAGGCCCTTATCAGCGCTGATTTTTTTTTTTTTTTTCATTTTAAGGATCCTCCTGTCTCAGCCTCCAGAGATTAGGATGACAGGCTGTGTGCCACAATGCTCACCATTTGTAGATCACAAAGTTTGGCTAAGCATCTCATTCTGCCTCAGAGCAAACTTCTGAAGCCCCAAATCCACTCTGGTTGATTGATTCCCTTGTAAATCCCACCAGACTTTGAAAGAACAATAACGTTTTTATTTACAAGTGCGGTTTCTTTACATGATCACATCACTAGTCTAAACAAGTCAGGTTGATAAAAACAAAAAAGGGTAAACATCCTGGGCAACTCGAGTCCGAAGAAACGGAGTCAGGAAGCGTCGCTGGTTCGAGTCCAGCCTCGTCTACCTAGCGAGGCCCTGAATCCAAACCACAAAAAAGCAAGATCCATTGTCCGTTTAACACGGTACACCGCTTCCCAACTGTACGCGCGGCATTTCGTTAGGAATAAACACTCCAAATGGAGGGCAGGCTCAAGTTTCCGCCGCACACAGACGACCTCGGGGCGAGGACGGAGCGGCTGGCGCGGCGGCTGCGCCCCGCAGGGGCCGCGGAAACAGCGCCGTCCCCGCCGAGGCCGTTTGAGCTCCCCAAACCCAACTTCCGCAGGAAGCCGGCCGACGCGCGGGCCTCCGCCCGCGTCCCTCGGGACGGGCGAAGGAGCCCCCCGCGCCGTTCACCCGGCGGCCTGGGGAAAGCGCACAACACAACCCATCACCGCCCCCCTCCGCCCGGGACCCGGCCACAGGACCTCCAACTCGGGGCGGCCCCATTCGGGCCGCAGCCCTCGCGCTCCGGGGAGGCTCCACCCTTACCGTGTGCGGCCTTGGGTTCCGCGGTGGCCTCCAGACTCCCGAAGCCGGGAGCCGCGCGCCCCCGGACTCCAGCTACGCGCGGGTCTGACCCGGCGCTGCCGGGCTCCGCGGCCCACGTGGGCTGCGCACGGAGTGGACCGTACCATGTGGCAACTGTGCGGGGGGGGGGGGAGCGAGCTGTGAGTCCAGGGAAGAGCTAGCCGTTGACCGCGGAAACCTTCCTTCCCACCGCCCCGTCCCTGAACATGGCTGCGTGTGAGTCTGAAGGCTCGACGGGTGCTCAGAAAGGCCCCCACTTCTAAGACCAAATCGGAGAGACCGATGGCATCCTCCTCCCGAGGGCGCATTGGCTGTGCCGCGACCCCGCCCTCCCGCGCCTGTCCTTCCCTCTGCTCCCTGCCTCTGCTGGGCGCCAGACCCGGCCCCGCCGTCCGGCTGTTTCTCGGCTGCGGCTTGTCACCTCCGGGGTCCCAGCCTCCGTGGGCCGGGGCCGCCGGCGCCGCGGCAGGACGGGGAGGCGGGCCATGGCGTCCTGCGTGGGGAGCCGGACCCTAAGCAAGGATGATGTGAACTACAAGATGCATTTCCGGATGATCAACGAGCAGCAAGTGGAGGACATCACCATCGACTTCTTCTACCGGCCCCACACCATCACCCTGCTGAGCTTCACCATCGTCAGCCTCATGTACTTCGCCTTCACCAGGTGAGGCGAGCCCGGCGGCGTGCGGGGCCGCGGGGTGCTCAGGCGAAGCCACGGAGGGCGGTGGTGGCGGGGAAAGGTAGCCCGGTGTGGTCCGAGGTGAGGAAGTCGGCTGGGGGGCCCCCCACGCCCGCCCGCGCAACTGCTCCACCCGCCGGGTGCCTCGCCCAAAGCCCAGCCCCCAACCCCACTCTAAAATGGGCCTCTCCCTCACCGTGCCTGGGGCCACCCCAGGAACTCACGCCAGCCACCTAGCCAGACAGCGCACCCCTCCCTTCCCTCCCTCCCTCTCCACCCTCCCCATCCTCTCCACCCTCTGCCCTCAGCATTGCTCTACCCACGTCACGACTTGGCGCTCTTCTCTGCAGCCCCCTCCAGCCCTGCTCGGTTTCCAGCACATCGCATGAATTATCTTGTATGCACCACTTTCAGCACCCTATACACATAAAAACCCCCAATCCTTCCTTTCCCATGGAGCTACTCCAGTTTACCACTACCAGGTAGGTACACACACACACACACACACACACACACACACACACAAGCGCACATGAGAGATACACAACACTGTCTTTCCCATACATTGCATACAAACCGTCTGGCATTAGTATCATCTTTCCCCCATCCTCAAACCTACCATCTATATCAGGACAGAGATTGGCCTTCTAGATAGCACAGCACTGCCTTATCTTTCCTTTCCAGCACAACCCCAATACCCATGACTTCCTGTGAAATGTGCCTTACAGGTGCCAGCACTACCAAACATCCTGACATACACCTGCCTGGTCGTCACACACCACATGACTCCAGGGCAGCACAGGGCCCCACACCCCAGAGCACAAGCTAACAGATCCCTGGTTTGTTTGTTTTTTTAAAAATACACATATTCTACTTACCATTTTCTGCGTTCTGAATGAATTTTTTAAAGAAATTCATGCACACCACGTCATTAAGGCTTAAAAGACAGGAACCTAGGCTGTAGTTTTGGAGTCAGCCTGTTGGTTTTTGGTTAAGTTACTTAACATGCTCTGAATATCAAGTTCCACACCTGTAAAATTGGGTAAAGTCTGTATTTACCTCATACTGGTTAGGATGACTGAATGACTATGTATAAATGCATTGACCAGCGTATCTGGTACATGATGCCCAATTAATGCCAGTTCTCTTCTCAGTTTTCAGTATTTATTTAAGCTGGTGCCTCACTGTATATCCAAAGCAAACCTTGAACTTGAAGTCTTCCTGTCTCAACCTCCTGAATGTTGGAGGTGCTAGACATGTACCTTCATACCTGGCCTCTCCTGATGGGTCAGGGGAAAATGTGTAGGGATATTTTGAGCATGTTGGTCACAAGAATGGAGAACACTTCTGATATTTAGTGGTGGGAGATAAAGGCTACTACATAGGGGACAACATTGTACAACAGAGACTCAGTTGCCCACTCAAGCATCTGTCAAGTGCCAGTGGTATCTCCCTTGGGAATCACTGCAGTTTTATTTTCAGATTTTCACAACACATGTCCTTTCCCATCATCATTTTCCTTATCTTCATAATCATTCAGACTCTTGTTTCTTATTATGTGTTTATTTGTACAAGTCATCAAAGGGTACAAAAGCATAGGTAACAATTACTTTTTAATAACTGGGAAGAGTGTAGGGCTACCATTATTGTGAAGTCTGCTAATGCTGTGCAGACCAGACCTTCTGTTCTACAGCCTCTAACCGTCATATATCTAGCTTTGTAGAAAATCACCCTTGGTTCTTATTATGGTTACCCTCAAATATTTCATCATGTCACCCAAATTTCCCACTTACTATATATTTGATCCTGCTAACCTTCAGTTACCTTATCAGTATGAAAATGAAAACAACAATACTAGTTCTTCATAAGATTGTTTGTGAGAAGGAAATTCATCTTTTACTTTGTTTAGCTTAATACATAAAATGTATTGAATATGTAACACACAATTGCATTGGGTAAAAGGATAAAGGTATTGGAAAATAGACATTGAAAAACATACCTGTCAACTTTACATGAATAGCAATTTATTTTATATATAAGTTTGAAATGATGGAATTTTTGAAAGGTTTTTGTTTTTTGGAAATGAGAAAAGTAATGCTATTTTATTTTAAATAATGAGCAGGAATGAACAGTTCCTTACATCCTTTCATATCTGATAATATTGTAGGCACTTTTAAAATAGATCTTTCTTCTTTACTTCAAATACAGAAAGTCCCATTCTTTTGGAATTTTCTCTTGATGACCTATCCCACAAAAGCCATTGATGCACTGCAGCAGTGAGAATGTAAGAAATGAGTATGGATTTTAATATGGAGCTTGTGGAAAGCCATAGAAAAGCCATGATCTGAAAAGAGCATGGTCCTTTCAAAACATGATAATAATTTCACTTCTTACTGTAACTTCATAAGAAAACTGCAGTCACATCATGAAGAACTAATTAATAACAAGTTTCGCCTTATATGAAATGATAAGCCTGCTAATAGAATTATTAGTTTTATTATTTCTTGCACATTTTATATGATTTATGATACTTTGAAGTAAGATATGATAGCTCTCTTAAAAATAGAAAATAATGACCTCTTAGATGAAATATTTTCATCCCACAGATTTTTATAGTGATCATAGCACCTTATACTTACTTTGGAAGGCTATTTAGATTACTGTTCATCCCATACAGTTTTTCCAGCAAAAATTTTAAAAAAATATGCCATAAAGTTTGTTTTGTAAAGACAAGTTGTTTGAGAACACTGGAGAATAGTTTTGATCTGACCACTTACAAGTATATGAGCAATTAGTGTCTGTGTAGTGTATCCGAGGCTGCTGAGACCTACCTTTCCAATTGTGAGGAAATGGATAGTTCATATACATATGTCTGAGAGAAACTTGGATTTGCCAAATAGTTCTTTTGTTAACTTATGCTATGATTTAGGTGTGGTTTGAGTATCCATTGTGATTGGAGTTCTAGTCCCAGAGTAATGCTGTGGGTGATAGTAGAACCTTTAAGAGGTGGAGCCTAGAGAGCTGGGGCGGCAGGTGCTCTTGAAAGGCGGTTCTTATGCTGCCCCTACTCAGAGTGGTTATACATAGAGTAAACCTGTTATTTCTTCCTCTATTTTGACATGTAATCACACTTGTTCCCAACATCACTGTCCATGACTAAAGGTTGCAGTGAAGGGGTATCTCTCACCTTAGAGCCTGTGCTATGCTATTTAGACTTTGAACCTCCAAATTATGAGCTAGATAAACTCCTCCCTCTTTATAAGTAGCCTTGCATCAAGTATTTTATTACAGCCACAATGCTTACTGATACAGATAGCAACTAGGCCAAATTATTCATAAATCAGTGTGCAGCCCCAATGTCTCCATCACTGTTTGCTTTCAGATGCTATCTGATCATTTCCCTAAGCTTTGAAAAGCTCATTTTGCCATATTTTAGAATACATTATAAAGTAGATGTGTGGGCAAATGCTAACTGTTCAGCCAAAGGAGACAAGTTAAGCCTTTATCTCCAGCTCAGACTGTAGTCATTTCTGAGTACTCTCCTATTTAATTTGGCTTTCAGAAGTAGAGAGACTTGGAAATACTGAATGACTTTCTTTGCAAAACCTCAGGCCTTGGGTTTGAAAACATCAAAATGGACTAAATCACATTCTTAGACACTTCTTTCTCTAAATGACCTGCCATTAAACAGTAGAATGAGCCTGTGCTAACAAGCACACACAAAAATGGCTTTTTGCCTAGAGGATACTGCCTTTCTGCAGAGTGCTGGGCCTGAGTGGTCATCATTGGTGCTAGTTTTCTCCTGGCATGGAGCTAAGGAGACAGAGAAGGGCAGGGAAATGGATAGGCTTCATTTATTGGACTCATTTGGTAATAATGGCTTTTTATTCCACTTCCCTTATTGGCTTTAGAACTTGAGTTTATTATATTTCTGACCTTCTGTAAGGATCTCTCTTGGGTGCCTGCTAATAACCTTTCCTATATTTTCCCTTTCCTCCATGTTAATACCCAGTAGAAAATGTCTCCTGATACTGCTGATTCAGTTGCCTTGGTTCCATTTCCTCATGTACATCATGTTCTTTCTCTATAATAGAAGCCCTAGATGTCCTTGCTCATGACACCAGCAATATTAATTAATCAAGTATTGCATCTGTGTCCTGGGGTCAAACTAAGCATGGAGGTGAAGATGGAGTACTGTTAGGTTAGGTTTAGTTGTATTGGATTGTACTTGAAGTCCAGGTGACACTGATCTTTACTTTTTTCTTTATTCTTTAGATCATATTTTTAAACTGGATTTAAGTACACATTGGATAATTTTTTATTATGCTTATATATAAGGTATTTTTTATCCCTAATTAGATTGTAAGTTATTAAAGGGCCATATATCTCTGTAGAGTAAGCCTGTAGTAAATAAGCATGTGGGTGACTCAAGTATTTATTTGGTTTAGATGTTGCCTTACCCCAGAGAGTTTATTTATCTAGGAAGTGCTGCTTCTCAGACTCCGCATTCAAGTTGGTCTTTTCGATAATTGTTTACTATTTCAGGTATAAACTTGTTCTGAAACATAGCACAGTCCATCTTGTGATATAATCCTTATTGCTCTAGATTTCTAGAAGTTAGGAACATTTCCTCAGCTAATCTAGAAACTAAGACTAGTTAAGTCAGCTGCTTTGCTTTCTCAGCCCTGGCATCCCATCTAATCCAACTACCCAATTCCACAATCTCTGTTCTGCCTAGGCCCTGTCTCTGCCATCCTTGGGCTCACCCCCCTGGCTTCTCTTCAGCAAGTCTAATTGGGTCTTTGGAGCTTTGGAAGCTATTCTCCATCCATTCCCAGCCTTAGCTCAGCACACCTCCCCCTCCACTGCTGGGAATAGCATGTCCCCAGGCTATTGACTCCCCCTGCAGTCCATTTAAGACTATGTAATCCTATCAGTCTCACATCACTGAAAGTCTACCACCCAAAGGAAAGGACAAGCTAGAT